AACTGGAAGAATATAATTAGAGGAAGCCTGGAAAGTTAGGGGACTCTCTCTCTATGGTTTGTTTGAGAAATGATTGAGTTTTCTCTACTGAGACCTGCCATACAATCTTGGCTTTATTTTAGAGAAAAATCTACATTGTTGGTATGATACCACATTATTCAATCTTACTAGAGAAGTCATTGGTTTCCTCCACACTCAATAAAAATGAGTTTTGTTCAGTATTGTAATTGATCCTTCAGTGCTATTTGAAAAAAATTTTAGCTATTTTGAGTGTATATGTTAAAAATAATTTATGTGTTTTGTTTCTTAATACCAAAAGAATAGGTGCCATTTCACAGAGTTGCGGTGAAAATTACTTGAAAAAAATGTTTTGTTAAGTGTAATACAGACGATAGCTACTATTATCTCTTATTAGCCTACTTGGCAGGTTAACTTTAAGAAAAATTGAAGGTCAAAAAATATAATTTTTAAAGTACCTTTCATAGAACTTTAGATAAATTATTTTAACCTCCAGTTATTTAGATCTCAAGGCTTTATAAGGAACAATTCTCAAAAATTGATTTTTTATTCTAGAAAATTCATTTTTCAAACTCATTTTGAAGTTAATGAACAATGTAATCACCATTTTTTGCTGTCTTCCTTGGCTATTCTGTCCTTAATAATTGTTTTGTAATGTGTTTTATACTTTTTAATGAAGGGCTTTGCACCATTTATCTCGCCTGAGAGACCTTGTTGATGATACCAGTGGAAAACAGTCACCAAAAATATGAAGAGGAAAATAAAACTGTCGCCACAATAAATAGTCACCACAGAACAAATATGCATTTTTTCCTATTACTTAAACTGACAAAGTAATTATAAGCTATACATAATTCTGTGACTGGTTCAAGTGTTATATATTTCTAAAAACTAAATTTGAAAACATCCATAGGATTTGTGACTTATCCTTACTAAGTGCCAAAATAGTAGAATGTGAAGTGGAAGGACCCACAATATATCCTATAGCCTTATTTTGGTCCTTAGGCCAGCAAATGTCTAATATTCAAAGATGGATGATTTCTCTTCTTGAGGCTTATGTGACCTCACTGTCTTTCAGCATCCTCATCATTTTATCATCTGGTTCTGGATTATTAAGAAACTTTATGGTTTCTATCTAAAATCTTAAGTTAAATAGACTTTTTTGGATATAGTTAGTATGACTTTTAAGTGGCTTAAAGGAATATCAAAATTGTTATTGTATATCTTATCCATATAGAAGTCTGTCACTTTTAAGTTTTCATAAATCAAATATTTAAGATATGTTGTATTTGAAAATGTTATAAATTTAATGGTAGGTGAAAAGCAGTGCTAGAAGGAATGTTCTCTTATGTTGTGACATACAAGAGGACCTCTTTATTTAATTGATACTTTGATTCTGTGTAAGACAATATTGATAATACTTGACAGTTTACAAAACATTTTTGGAGAGATGTTTGAGAATTTAATATTTTGATATTAGAATGTTTCCCAGATTTTC